CCCCGGCGCGCAGGGAAGGGCTGCTGCTCCTGGGGCACGGGTGAGGGGCTGGCACAGGCTGTGGGGAGCTGCATGCTGGCTTGCGGTAGAGCTGAAGATTTCTTTTTTTTAAACTCCTGATTTCTCTTTGCCCTAAATGGAACCGTATTTCGGTGCGGGGGCAGCCGGGGGAGACAGCAGTGAGCAGCTGGGGGCCAGCAAAATGCTGCAACAGTCTTGCAGACCCGTGCTTGCGACTTCCCAAAACTCAGCTAAGGCTCTGCGGCGTCGCGGCACTGCTCAGGACTTGCAGGCCCTTCGCGGAGCAGCCAAAGACGCTGCGCAGGCGCCTGTGACCAGTCCTTGTTCACCCATGGAGCTGGCAAGGCCCTGGCCACCACCTCCCCTCCCCTTGGAGCAGCGCGGAGTAGAGCCGCTGCTCCTGCGCTCTCCCTTTCCCCAGAGCTGGCCTCGATGACCCCTCGGCAGCGAGCGCCTGGGTTGTTGCTGTCCCCCAGGCCCCCGCTAACCCTCGCAGCAGCGCAGGTATGGGTCAGAACGCACCCTGTGCCTGACGGCTTGTCTGTCCCTGCAGGAGCTGCACCAGAAAAGAGCCCAAAAGGCGTCGGAGTCAAAGCGCTTGGCAGAAGAAGAGCTTGTGCTGGGGAAGGAGAGCAGAAGGGTAGCAAAGAAGAAGCCTGCCAAACCTGCTGCTGCGAGGAACGTCAGTCCAGCCAGCAGCAGCACCAAAGCCAACAACGCTGGTGAGCCCCTCCTGCAGGTCTGCGATGCCGAGCGGTGTGCGGCGGGAGGGGGAAGGAGGAGGGCGGAGGGGCCGTTCTCGCTCTATAGAGCTGCTTCAAGGGCCTGAGAACAGTCTGGTTCCTGCAGAGGCCAATTTCCACGCGGTAGCTGCAGAGCCAGAAGAAAGCGGCCTCACAGAGCTCGGCTCTGTGCCCTTGCAGGACACCAGGGCAGAGGACAAGCTGCAGGTGGGTCTGGCTTTGCCTCGTGGGGCTCCTGGCACCAACTGCTCTACTGGGGCGGCTGCAGAGCCTCCGTCGACTTCGGGGGAGATCTGGCGAGCCCTTTCACTGCAAGGCGTGTTGTCCTCTCCCCTAGGATGCGAGCTCCCGAGAGGCGGGTGGCGAGGACCTGGAGACAACGGTGGCTGCCGTCAGCGGGGCTCAGCCCAAGGTCACGCTCAGCGAGCTGCTGGACACGCTCAGGCTGCTGGAGGAAGAGCCGGAGGTGCTGCCCCCGCTGAAGGCCTGCAGGAAGGACGGAGGTGCAAAAAAAGAAACGCAGCTGGCTCCCTGCCGGGGAAGGCAGCGGAGGAGAACGGTGTGGTGGGACTTGGGCATCCAGGAGGAGCGAAACCGTGCAGGGCCATGGCGGGAGCGGGGTTAGCACAGGGGATAAGGCTGGTTACTGGGATGCAGTGGGAGGACTGGGCTTCAGTGGTGGAGGAGAAGCGCAGGCGCCTCTTCTCCCGAGCCTTCCCCTGGGTGCTCACTCACATTCACAGCTGTGTCTGCCCAGCAGGAACCCGGCTCCAATTCCCTGACCGCTGACAACTTGGAGAAGTTCGGGAAGCTGAACCACTCCCCGGGGGTCCCTGAGGACGGCGCCCTGCTCTCGGAGGCCAAGCTCCAGAGCATCATCAGTTTCCTGGACGAGATGGAGAAGTCGGAGCAGGAGAGGCCCCGGTCGGCCGCCTCGGCCACGCAGCGGGAGGCGAGTGCTGAAGCCAGAGCTGCTTTGCGTCGGCGAGACGCTGGTGGGAAGGGTCTCCTGCCTCCTTGTCCTGGTGGTCGGCACCTCCTTCTAATGGCTTTTTTTCCCTGTGGCAGGGTCTCCTCTCGGAAGAGGAGCTGGCTCACTTGGAGCAGGCCTCGGCTGTTGCCACGGAGGTCACGAGCTCCATCGTGAGGCTGAAGCTGGAAGTGGAGGAGAAGAAGCGAGCGGTCAGCCTGCTGCAGACAGCCCTGGTGTGTCAGCCAGATGTGCTCGCTCGCTGGGGAGTGGAGACCGCGAGCCCTCCGCAGATGTTTCTTGGGGCAGTCGCTTTGAAGCGCAAGATCGGGGCTCTGCAAACAGAGCTTCCCGTCTGTGTCCCCAGTGCAGCAGCCTTCCCGGAGCGCGTCCCAGTGAGCCGGAGGCTGCCTGGCATGCCGCCGTCCCAGTCTCTGTTAGCATGGGAAAGATCTGCAAGGTCCTTCCCGGTCTGGTGTGGGCTTCTCCCCGATTTCTCCTTGCTGTCCTTCCCCCCTCTCGATGTGAAAAACCTTCCTCAGACTCCCCTCCCTGGCAGTGTGGCCAGCAGGTTGAGGGAGGGGATCCTGCCCCTCTGCTCCTCTCTGGTGAGAGTTCATCTGGAGTCCTGTGTCCAGCTCTGGAGCCCTTAGCACAAGAAGGACATGGACCTGCTGGAGCAGGTCCAGAGGAGGGCCACAAAAATGATCAGAGGGCTGGAACACCTCTCCTGTGAGGAGCGGCTGAGAGAGTTGGGACTGTTCAGCCTGGAGAAGAGAAGGCTTCAGGGAGACCTTAGAGCAGCCTTCCAGTACTTAAAGGGGGCTTATAAGAAAGATGGGGATGGCTGGTGCAGAAACCCTCAGCCAGGACCTGGGCTGAGCTCTCTTTTCCCTGTCCCACGGGGGTGTGGGTGTTCTTGCTGGCAGCGGGGCAGGAGGGGAGTCCCTGTGAGCACCAGGGACTTTGGTTTAGCTCCGTTGCTCCCTGTTCTGGCCCGACAGTGCCTCCCAGGCTTGGAAGGGATCTCCTGTACGCGTGCTGGGGCTGGTGTAACTTCTCCCTCTAACGTTGTGGCTGTTTTTCCCCTGCATCTGAAAGGCTCAGCAGCGGGAACTGACTGTCCGGCACATCAAACAGACCGAGAAGGAGCTGGGCCACCAGCTCAGGCTGCAGAGGGAGCAGTATGAGGCAGCTATCCAGAGGCATCTGGCCTTCATCGACCAGGTAATCTCCCGTCCCAGCTCAGGCCAGTGCTGCCGAAGCCAGACGCGGTGGTGGCTCTGCCCTGCCTGATGCCTGTCCTTCACCCTGCCCAGCTCATCGGTGAGAAGAAGGTTCTGAGCGAGAAGTGCGAGGCTGTGGTAGCTGAGCTGAAACAGGTGGACCAGAAGTACGGGAAGAAGATCACCCAGATGCAGGAGCAGCACGAGCTGGTGAGGGGATAGGGAAGGTGGGGGGGCAGGGAGAGGGGACGGGCCGCGGCCAAGGGTCTCTGCTCGGAAGGACCCTTCCCCTGTGTCCTGCTGTGGACGGAGCTCTCCCCCAGCTCCCGGGCACCAGGGAGCTCGCTTCGGCAGAGCCGAAAGCAGGTGCTGGCACAAACCCGATGCCGTGGAGGGATTTGGATTTGTACCTGTGGCCGTCTCCTCCTCAGCTGGGTGACTCCCAGCCCCCTGCGCAGGAGTAGGGATGCGCTCGGAGCTGAGCGGGGTTAAGCTTATAAAAGCTGGTGGGGTGCATCAATGATAGCACCTGGGTGGGTTTCGCCGAGCTCTTGCCTTGGCCAGCACCCAAACGCACAGAGGGGGGTTCCCCAGCGTCTGCGCAGTGGGGTCCATGCCTTGGGGCCCCTCTCTGGGGTGTGCTGCCTGCTCGTGGGAGCGTGCAGGGAGCTCCCTCTCCGGCAAACGGAGATGGCTCCGGCTCTGCTCGTCCTGTGCCGGGCCTGGCAGCCCTGCCGTGGGGCTCGTCCTGGCTCTGCTGCCCCACTCGCCCTTGGTCTTGCAGCCGAGCTCACACCCCGGGCTTGGAGCGGGGCAGGCGTTGCTCCACGCTGAGCCTGTGCAGATGGACGCCCTCACACAACCAAAGCGAAGGCTCGCTTGGCTCGCTCTGCCTTACTGTTGAAGCCTGAATTTTGAGCACAGGCAGGAGGAAGCAGCCAGAGCAGTGTTGCTGTGCTCGGTGCCTGGAGGAGCTGCTTCCCGCGGAGGGACGGGGCTGGTTTGGTGCTGCAGCTGTGCGGGGCAGAGGAGGTGCCTCTGCTACCTCTCGCTCCCTGCTTGCAGCCCCGCAGCTGTGGTGCCACCGCG